CTGCATTGAAAATCCAGTTTATACCTTTAGGGTTAACAACCCAGTTGGTACCAACCGCTCTCTATATTAGCCTTTCTTATACTATTTTGAATATTCATATGATAGTTCACTGTCAAGGATCACTTCGAGTTACTTTGCATGATCAGTAGTCTTAAGTCTTATTTTGTTACTTGTTAATAATGAGGTAGATTTTTATTTATAAATATTTGTTTTTTTTTTTCAATATTGGGCAAAATATAAATTAGTTTCCCACTTTCTTTAAACTCTTGCAATAGAAAGTATTTCCTTTTATTTAAAATTAAATTTAATACAAGTACATAGTATGTGTATTTAATAGTGAGTAGTATAATGTAAAAATTGCATGATTGTGGTCATATATGATGCACGTTTTTTTTTTTGGACTGGAAACCACATACATGTAGGTTGCTTTAACTTAAACAAAAATTTTAAAACTGACCCACATTTTTAATATTGTTTACAAATTAAATAAACAAAATCTGTTTTTAAAAGTTATGCTTTAAATAACTATTGCATGCATGTACAGTGAATCAATTAAGTAATTTGCCTATGTAAAATTTTATAAATTTTAAGAAAAAACTTTATCTGAACAATTATTTTTAGCAAAATAAAGCAATTTGTTTGTTGTATTTTTTAAAGAATATCTTATATTTTAATTTTCTACCATAAAGAGTAAAATCGTGATATTAATTTTTGATAAAATGTGAACGTATTGTTAATTTTTTAGTTCAATAAAGTATTTTTCTTTTTAGGTTTTTTGTTAATTTTTTTAATATTGCTGCATTATTTTATACAATTTAGTATTTTTATTACTCCTATATATTAGAATAACATTTTTTAGATATTATAGTAGTGGAACGACTAAATTTGGACATTTCTTAACCGATTTATTATCCTATATACCTATAAGAATTTATCAATATTTGACTTAACATGAAATCTATCGTTTCTTTGATTTAATTTCGAAAATAATAAGTAATTTTGAATTGGATACATGATATATTAGATAATCAATGGATTTGGACCTAGAAAAAATGTTTAGTGGGGTATAAATTTATATATTACAACAAAAATAATCTGGATTTTTGGTCATTTTGTATTGATAAACAAAAACTACATTACGGACACCCCATCTATTTGGGGAATACTGTGTAAATTTTATTTAGAATTGTAAAATATTGATTCTTATTCAATAAATCTAACACTAAGTGTCATTCTAGCCACTCTAAGTATGGGGACATCACCATATACCACTATAGAACTATTACATACTAAAATCTTGATTTTCAACCTTATATTTTAAATGCTTTATTTTATGAATAAAATACAGTAGGCGTATTTGGATCTGGATAGTTATTCTTGATTTGAGTTCTAAATATATATGAGTGTATATATTAGCTGAAAAATATTGCTTTTGTTGACCTTAGGTGATGATAACGACCTCTATTTTAAAATATCTAAATTAAGTATTTTTCCTGTACTACACGACAGTTCACTTTACATTGGTTCCAAGCAACCTAAGGTCAGTTTAGAGGTCTAAATTTAAACATAGTGTTCCTCCTAGTTCGTATATGAATTTTGGAGAAGATAAATCAGGCATCCAATCGTTTTCCTTGGATACAAGTCGCCTCCCTTTGGCAGTTAAAGAATTTGAAAAAGCACTCAGTGCGTTTTTTCTAATAATTCTTTGGATCATTTCATCAATTACTCCATTTTATATTTTTTTTAATGATATTGATTAAACATCTCATAATTATATTTCATTGATTTATACTTGTTCTAGAAATCTAAACTAATTTTTTATATTGAAATTGGCTCATTATTTTCCTTTAAACATTTTTAAGGCAAATACCTTCACAGTTTCACACAATGAGGATATGAATTTTGCAAATTGCAATTGAAAATACTTAACACGCGTCCTTTTAACAATAAAACAATAAATTCCAAAAAGTAATTAAAAATTAATTTGAAAATCTCAACGAAATTAACTCGAATTCTAAAAATGCAAAATACTTTATTGACATGTAAATTCTGATGAAAAATAATAAAATGCACCAAAATTTGTATTTTAATATTTTTTTTATGGTTTTCCCATTTTATACAATCTCTATTTTTAATTGGAAAACATAAATTTACTCTCTACCTGTTTTTTCAAATTTTATTTATGAACAAAAAACAAAATTTTCTTAAAAAAAGGTAGGCAAAAAACTTAGTTGATTCACTGTATGTTTGTTTTCGTTAGCTACTTATGATGGACATTTCGAAATAAAGAATCTTCTTCAAATATAATAATATAAAGTGTGATCATCTTGACACTTTTCACATTAAAATGTTATCATTATTTCAAAAACTTTTTAGCGCGAGCGTTTTAATTTTAACTTTATTTTAACAGCCCTTAAAGAGAATTGATTTTTTGAAAATTTGCCGACTTAAGATACGAATCAAATGTTTTCTAATTGCAACATTCAATTGAATTGTCATCTAGTAAAGTAAACCAAATACTGTATATAAATTTCAATTAAAAAAAAGGATCAACATGCAACTGTGACACTAATGTCCTTTTCGTACGTGCTGTTATCCTACCGTTTTTTTTCACTGCAACGACTTCTGGTTAACACAAAGTGTTAACTGTTTGTCAGGTAAATGAAAATATAATAGGCTTGACAAAATACTCTTACCATCATTGACTGTCACCTACTATCCTACAGGCCTACTCTTATAGAACGTGTATATCAGTAATAGTCATCACATAAATATTGAAAGACCAAACTATGATGTGACATTTATGACTTCTTTTGAAAATGATTTTTTTAAAAGAGCAGTTGTTATCTTAATGAGGTCGTATCATGTTGTGTTATTGTTTTCAAATTGTACGATCGATCACAATGAATGAAAGGACACATTTTTTTTTGTAAAATCCTTGTTGAAAATAATGCGTAACAAATCTTTGAGTGTCACCAAATTGTAAAATGTTGTGTAAATAAATGTGTTCTGACCGTATAACCTAAAATAATGGGTAACGTCAAATTCATTGAGCGTTTAGTAACGCATTTATTTAACGATTGATTTTAGAGATTTCGAGGTGAAAAGTGTTTTTGTTTAATTAATAAAAAAAGATGATAAAAGCTTTCATTAAAATGACTCGGTTGATAGAAGGATGTATGTACATCAAATCCGAAGAAATGCGGGTCTGTACTGCGCTCCTTTTCATGTAAAAAATTTATATAGTATTTACTTTATTTTATTGTCCGATGTTCAGAAACTTAATTCCTGGACGCAATTCCTAAGAATTTTCCAATCAGTGTTGTGAGGGATATCCGGAATAATATCACTCCCCAGATATTCTGGATCTAATTTCGGTGATAGCCTGAAAATGGCAAAGAAAGTGTATAGCCGTGCCCGTAATCTATTCGCTATTCGCTCTTTCGTTGCCGACTACTCCCGAGTGTTCTGGTTCCCATATGATGAAAACCTTATCCCGGGAGTGTATTCGGTAAGAAAGTTTTTACAATTCAATAAGGTGTTAGAATTAATTTTATCATCTGATTTCGACTAATTGCCTTCTGGCTGTCGGTAAATATGTTAAGACCTCTGGGCGCTACAATTATACTAATCTAATTTACGCATTCCGTTATTAGTGTAAATGGTGGTATATTGTATAATTCTGTTTCTTGACATTCAATACAGAACCCCAGGCCCACATTTTGCCCCAATTTAGAGACGTCCATGCAGCAACGGATTTCTGCGGGTATTTTCTCTAATGTTTCCCTTGACCAAGACATTCTAGCTGTGTGATCAGTGTTTCAATGTTTCCGACATATTCTGTGTCTGGTACGCGATCGGACACATCCGATGATTGTGTATAGTCTTCCAATGTGTCCACTATACATTGAAGACGCCTTCCTATAATCGCCTTTGGCCAGTTTGCCTAAAGTTATGAGACGTTCTGCTGTAAGTGCCGACTCATATCTTATATATGTTTCAATGGATGGAATATCTAGCCACGTTTCCAGAGCCGTGGTTGACATAGTACCCATGGCACCACTAATGCCCAAGCAGCATATACGCTGAACTAACGCACACGCGTGTAGAGTGCTTCTCAAAGGACTAGGACTGGTCTAACACTAATCGAAATATATGGAAAAAACATATTCCATCTAACATTGTGATGTCCTAGGTGAGGGCCACCTAAGCCATATATGCATTATATCAGAGTACTCCCGAAACTGCTACAAAATCCCAGAGGTTAATATGTATTAAGTTTGCACTACAATATTGACCTTGCCAATCAAAAAGAAATCAACTGACAAATGTTGTATGATTTAAAAAAAAAACAACAACAACAATGTTCCTATATAAAAAGGATTTTTGTTTTTGCAAATGTTAGTAAAATAAAAGAAACAGAAAGTGAAAATTATATGTATTTCTTAAACATAAAGCCACAATAATTATATTTTAGACAATAGTAGCAAATTAATTTTAACAACAAAAAAATTTAATATTAATATTGTTATATGTAACAAAATTTAAATAAAAAAACATATTTTATTTATTTACAATACAATAAGAATAAGAAAAGAAAATTAAACGTTTTGACCGCAAGCCAATTTAATAACAATACTGTGCAACAAACAATATTAACAACAACAAAAAAGACATGCAACAAACACTCAAAACAAAAGGATCTTACAATGTGGCACGAAAGACCAAAAGGAGTGAGATCAAATATTTATAAGGCATGCGTAAGCATGTGTGTGTATGGAAAAAGAACGAATCAGAAATTTTTAAAACAGGTAAAAACAAGTGGCCTATATTGCTTTAAACCAATCATAATAGAGGTTAAAACATAACAACTTAGCCTTTAAAAAGGAATGGTATAAAAAGAAGTAAAGGATGCTGTTGCAGCAACAGTTTCTTAAGTTCACTTCAAAGTTAAACATCGTAAAGGTTTAGATTTCTTTTTTTAAATAAAACAAAACAATATGTTATCTAGTGATTTTAACGAACAATTCCATTACTCGCAATTCCAAAACGAAGAATCTGCAAACGGCCAGCTTAATAACAGTATGGGCAGTAACAATCTCTCGGATAATAGCAGTTTAGGGGAACAATTTACATGCTTAAACGAAAATCTTGACTTTAATTTCTATAATCTAGATTTTGAAGCCAACAATGATTCCATGTCCGATTCTAATCATAGCAATGAATTTGGCATTGAAGCTACTGATAACAGTATATCTACTTCTACCTATGAATTGGAACAGTTTTATAATACTTACCAGCATACAGCAAAATATTGTTATCCTTCGCCAGCGACAATTAGTGTTAGCAAAACGCATTATAATAACACCTATTCCGCCACTAATTCACATTTAAATTCAACGAAATTCACCTTAAAACGTCTTCAGCCTTCAGGTTTGAAATCGAATTCAGCCGCCGACAAAACATCTCACACAACTACAAACTGCTCTCAAGAAGTTTTACGCAAACGTCGTTTAGCTGCTAATGCCCGAGAACGTAGACGTATGAATAGTCTGAATGATGCCTTCGATAAACTTCGTGATGTAGTCCCATCACTGGGCAATGATCGTCGTCTTTCGAAATATGAAACTTTACAAATGGCTCAGGCATATATTGGCGATTTGGTCAAGTTGTTGACAAGAGATTATTGATAATTTTATTTAATTAGTGAAAATGTTTTGTAAATATTGGTAATATATAGTTATATAAGTGTTATTTAAGTTAAGAATGTAAAAAAAAATTTGTTGATATGAATAAGGCAAATAAAATATAACTGTAATTTATTAAAAAAATATTAACTTGAAACATAATTTTTCACTGTTTTGAAACTACTCTTTTTTTAATTGAAAATCAGGGACCTCTTTCTCTAAATACGAACAAATATGTTCTTTATTATTTTATATAGAAAGCAACAGATAAATTCTAATGAAATGTACGATAGCATTTAAAGGAACAGATCCGCGAACTTTAATTTAAATTGAAATAGCAATATTTTGTTCAAGAAATTCAGAAGAAAACAAGTAGGAAAGTATAGTCGGGCATGGCCGACCATATAATACCCTACACCATGAGTATATTTAAAAAAATTTTATTTTTTATAAAGATACTTTTATGTTGAATTTTACCTTAATTCCAAGGTATTTGAGCAATTTATTGATAAAAAACTGATTTTCTAAATATAAATATTTAATGGTCAAACATGGGCCGATACTCATTCAATTTGGAAAAAAGATATATTTTTAAATAACAAGTAGTTATGTTGAGTTTCATTGCGATACAAATGGTTACAAGTCAATTTTAGACGTTTAAGACATTTTTTGAGGGGGGGTTTGTATGGGGGCTAGGGTCAAATAAGGGCCGATCATTACGAAAATCGGCAGTGTCATTTATACTTATATAAAACATATTTGTGCAAATTTTTAGAGAGATAATAGTATATTTGACGTAATAATGGCATAAAAAGCCCAAATCGGGAGGTACGGTTGTATGGGGGCTAGGTGAAATAAGGGACCGATTTCAACCATTTTCTATAGGCTTCGTCCCTGTGCCAAAAACATGTTTGGTCCAAATTTCATCAAATTATCTTGAAAATTGCGGCCTGTATCTTGCACACAAGGTTTACATGGACAGCCAGCCAGCCGGACAGACGGACGGACGGACAGACATGTCTTAGTCGACTCAAAAAGTGATTCTGAATCGATCGATATACTTTAAGGTGGGTGTAGGACCAATATTTTTGTGTGTTACAAACATCAGCACAAACGTATAATACCGTCCCCACTATAGTGGTGTAGGGTATAAATACATTTGATATTCAGAAGTGCTCAATTGAAATAAGCATTTTCATTCGATATCGGAAAATTTCTAAGAACATTTTAATTTCGAAATGTCGCACAAAAAGCGAAAAATTCTCATAAACAGAAGATATTTGTGGCAAAATGCTGTTACTACCCTCGATTGTAATAAAATTTTTAATCATTCTCTCAGACATGCTTTCGATAATTTTTCTATTTTAAATCAATAAATTGGTCCATATTCCATATTAAGCCAACAACAGACCCATATTATATATTCTTTGTGCGATCTAAAATCAAAATTTCGATAGGACATTGACAATATAAATCTCTATTTGGAATTATTTTTCAAACAAAACTTTTTAGAATATGGAGTCTCGATGTACACATATAAACTTTTTTAACTCGTTGACGCTCACCCAAAAAATGATGAATCTACACCGATGCACACTTAATTTTTGAAAAATTTGAGTACTTCGTTAAATTACACTAGTACTGCCCGAATATAAATTTTAATCAAAAATGTTGTTGTTATAATAAAACTATATTATTTTATTCTTTAAATAATGTTGACGGATTTTAAAAAAATTTATTATACTCCGATTTATAGTGAAATAAATATTAAAAAGATTACACTATATGACGGCTATAGACGTCATTTGCATCTACGAGCGACAGTGCTTGACGTCTATAGCCGTCATTTACGTCGACGTGTTAACTATTTTGTTTGGAATTTGTAGTTAAAATTTATAAAAAAAGAGCATTTTGTTCAAAAAGGGACAAAAAGTGGTTGAAAGTCGCAAATTTAGTTCATTTTAGAAAAGGGCAAATTTAGTTCATATTAGAAAAAATCCTCACAGCTCAAATTGTGAGGATTTTAAGAAAAAAAGGAGGATTTCGAAAAAAATGAGAACAATTACTATATTCGGCAATATCGAATATATATATATATATATATATATATATAAGCTAGCTTTTTTAACAACATTTTCCAAAAAATTTACAGAACGATTTGTACATATAGTATAATTTTACTCCGATATCATAATTAAATAATAAATATATGGGGCTTATGGATCCGTATAAATAAATCCATTTTCCTGGAGTTTGTAAATGTGCATGGGAGCTAATGAAATTTTGAACCGATTCTAATAATTTTCAACTACATTAACCCCTGGACAAAAGAAAATACTTGTGACAAAATTTGTTAAAATAGTTTCTGAAAAAAACTAATCAAGAATGACGAAAAAACGTAATATTTTCAAGGGTTGTTTCGGAATTTTGCTCATGTACCTGTTATTTATCTACTGATTTTGCTGATTTACAATAAGAAATTGTAGAATTGAAGAAATCTCGCAGATATCTGGGGTCTTAAAAGATTATTGCTACAAAAACATAGGGATAGACAGACAGACTAACGGGCATTACTAAATCGACTGCGCTGTCTGTAAGGATTCGGAATATAGTACTCTTGTTGGTACGGGGGAAAGGGGGATTCAATGGTCAACTGCAAAGCTGCTAAATTAGTTAAAACGGGAGCCTCAATGTCCGATAAGAATATAGACTACTTCTTCCGAATTCCGCTAACTCCTGAAACAGAGATAGCGGAGATAGGGCATTGTAAACTTGGCAACCTTTAAGAAGACTTGAATTACCTTATAATGACTTGTACAGACATCTTTAGATGAAATACACATCAAATTAAATCTTTATTTTCATTAAAATATATACATTAGGGTGATAACTTTTATACGATTTTTGAAAATTTCAAATCGGCCCTACATTCCTTATAGAGTATAAAAAAGTACGTAAAGACGGACATTGTTAAATAGAATTCGCTATCTATTATGATTCAAAAAAATAAATACTTTATAGGGTCAAAGGTCCTTATCGAAGGGTATACAAATTTATAAATATGGAGTTTGTTCCTCTAAATGCAAATGAACATAATTTTAGTCAAGATTATATATGATCTGGCTTAAAACACGTTTGATATGAAATTGCTTTGAAAAACATTTCCAAAAACTTATTTAACATCATGTCCCTACAGCGATTTTCAATATCTACTTCTTCTTTTTTATTTAAAAGGAAATTTTCAACAATTTTTCGATACAAAATTCCTGTTATAAACCATTAATAACTTTATTAATCATTTGTTTGGACTTGGATATCGAAGACATCTGAGTCCTTAAATACCATACGTACAGACGGACATTGTCAAATAGAATTCGCTATCTATTATGATTCAAAAAAATATATACTTTATAGGGTCAAAGGTCCTTATCGAAGGGTAAACAAATTTATAAATATGTAGTTTGTTCCTCTAAATGCAAATGAACATAATTTTAGTCAAGATTATATATGATCGGGCTTAGAACACGTTTGATATGAAATTGCTTTGAAAAACATTTCCAAAAACTTATTTAACATCATGTCTCTACAGCGATTTTCAATATCTACTTCTTCTTTTTATTTAAAAGGAAATTTTCAATAATTTTTCGATACAAAATTCCTGTTATAAACCATTAATAACTTTATTAATCATTTGTTTGGACTTGGATATCGAAGACATCTGAGTCCTTAAATACCATACGTACAGACGGACATTGTCAAATAGAATTCGCTATCTATTATGATTCAAAAAAATATATACTTTATAGGGTCAAAGGTCCTTATCGAAGGGTATACAAATTTATAAATATGGAGTTTGTTCCTCTAAATGCAAATGAACATAATTTCAGTCATGACTATATATGATCGGGCTTAGAACTCGTTTGATATGAAATTGATTTGAAAAGCATTTCAAAAAACTTATTTTCAATATCTATTTATTCTTTTTATTTAAAAGGAAATTTTCAACAATTTTTCGATACAAAATTCCTGTTATAAACCATTAATAACTTTATTAATCATTTGTTTGAGTTTGGAGATTATAAATTAAAAGATTTTTTTTACTAGAATCACCATTTATAAATCAGTTCGAAGATATTAAACTAAAATTAATTTTCATTTGTAATTTTTTTAATTTTTTCTGGAAACTTTTTAATCTTCCTATAAATGAAACTTACATACATAAAAAAACATAGTACATACCTCTTTAATCAGTAGATTTTTCAATTTGAGAAAAACATTGGCGGTTTTTCGTTTGTTTGTTTACATTCTCAAGATCTAGTTAATTTGACAGCCGTTGTTAGTTGTATCCTTGAAGGATTATTAAGTGGTAGGCGTTTTCCGAAATAATCACAACAACGTTTACGAACACACAAAACACAAAAAAGTGCCGCAGTATAATTTGATGCGTGCCGACCAAGACACAAGAAGTTTGATGATGACTTCCTAAATACATTTCCGCATTACAAGGCATAAACATGGGAATTATTTGATATTTGGGAATGATGATTTGAGCTGTTTGTTGTACTATGTAAAAAGACTAATTAGCAAAAAAATAATACATAATATAGAACAGGTAAAATGTAGAGTAAAATGTCTTAAAAACCTGTATTAGTTTTTAATATATTTTTTTTTGCGTTTACTTTTATTTGTTTGTTTGTTTTTCATTTAAACATTTAATTAATTTTATAGTTATAATAGATGATATTCTTAAAAACTTATTTAACATTTTGTACACTATTTACTTATTAACTATATATTTAAATATTTTTTTTTTTATAAAAAAAACAAGTCCTTAAATATTTAAATCAAAACTAATGAGATTTTTGTTGTAAATTAAACTATTTCGATATTCATTATAAATTATCTTTAATATAAAGATATTAAAAGTTTAATGAATGTTTAATGTCATGTTTAAAACTTAAAAATATGAAAAATTAAATAAATAAAATGTTTAATTAATAATT